GTGAAAAAAATAGGGGTATGTAGATTTGTATTTCTATTCAACTAAGATATATTTGAACAAATTTCTAGTTGTTTTGTTTTTATTTTCAAAAACTTCTTCAAGAAATGCTGTATTTTAATTTTTAATATTAAAGGAAGTTTTACAAAATATTTATTATGAACCTTCAGTTTCCAAATTTTATTAGCACTAGAAGCATCAACATTTACTAGAAGGACCAAGCGAATGAATTATTACAAAAATAATTAAAGAAGGTTATAAAATAAAAAAAAAGATTTTAATTTTGTAATTTTGTAATTTTTTAATATACATATATATATTTTTTGGATATTTAAACATCTCCACATTAACGCATTGTCAACCGCGTAGACATTAATTTACTCTCACTCGCCCTTTTTTTAATGTATTTGATTGTTTGTTCATCGAGAGTCCAATATATACGTTAATATTTTTATAAAATAAAGTATTCTACATATAAAAAAAAATAGAAAGAAAATAGTTATTGTGTGTGTGTGTGTGTGCGTGTGCGTGTGCGTGTGCGTGTGTGTGTGAAAAGTAAAAAGGATTTTTAAATCCTATTCTTTACATAAAAGAAATATAATATTGAGTTAAAAAAATAGAAACGGGATTGATAATAACTTTGGTATTTCCAGTGTTTAATAAAAAAATAAAAAAGTGAACAATAATTTTTTGTGTTGAAAAAAAAGTGGAATTTTATTTTACTCAATTGAGAAAATAAAGTTTTATTTTATTGTATAAAAGAAAAATAAGATTTAACTTTACCAAATGGAAGAATTTTTATTTATATACAGGTATCCGTAAGACTTGTATAGATATCTGTAAGAGTTTATTTTTAATTATTGTGTCAATTTTTTAATAGAAGGTAACCAATTCAAGAACAGAGATATTATCAATTTAACTGCCATGACCGAGATTTTGGTAGATATTTGTTAATAAATTGTTTCGAGGCTTTATCTTTTATATATTAGATCAATACTTGATCTATTTTGGAGTAATCTATAAAAAAAAGTGAGGTTCTTAATTGAAATATCAATTCAAGTTGAGATTTTTTCTTAGTGTAACTAATCGATAAAGAAGAAGCATTTTTCTTTCGAGGAATTATTACTTGATCGTGAAATACGACATCGCAAGATTCCAATTGCTTTTAAGGCTAGAAATTACCTGGATACAAAAATAAAAACGTAAGAAGTAAGAAATAATATTTGAAATATATTTAATATACATATATTTATTTTTTATGTAATAATTTATTGATTATATAAATCGGGAAAAATTCAAATTCTATTAAATATAAATTTAATTAAAAATTTTAATCAACGAATAGACTGTTATCCGCAATATTTTGTGTCACGTAACAAAGAAGGACGTATGAGACAGAAAGAATCAATAGCTTTTATCTTCCTAGATCGGCGAACTGAAAGCGCGATTTTATTTCATGTTGCAACTCTTTGATGTCCATTCTGCGTTCCCTTCAGGGTCGTCTCCTATGTATAAGATGATATACATATAAAAACAAAAGTAGCTAGCTGCTTCGCAACTTTCCTCATTTTCTAAAAAAAAAAAAAGATTTGGACGATTGTAGTAATTTTTCTATATTTTTCGTGGTTTTTCGGGAACATGTAATTTTTTTATCTTGAACTCCAGACTTTGCCAGCTTCGTCCCTGACACTGTTTTTCATTTCTTCGGAGGATCCTCGCTTAATTCTTGCTCTGTCCATCCTTTATAATTAATTTCTGCACAATACACGGGTTAGTGATTCTCATCATTCAAATTTCAGGTCACATATTTTCATTCTTTTTTTTCACGTTTAATCTCCAACCCTTTGAACCTTGTCCCATTTTCTGTTGCATCCACGCCAATTCGTCGCTGCATGTTTCGTTGACCCTTTACCTCCCTTTGATCTCGAATGCGACAGTTGACTATGATTATCTATTTTTTAATCAATAAGTTCGATTCGATTTTTTTATTCTACATTTATTCAATTTTATAAAAAAGAAGAAATAATGAGAAAATCTTGAAAAAATGAAATATAAATTAATTTTATTTATTAAAGTAAATTGATGCGTATTTTAGAATTTTACAAAAAATTGTGTTTTTAATAAGATTTTTAAAATAACAATTAATTGAGTTGATTACTATATTTAATTGATTGAGTATTTACAATAAAGGTAATACTTATAATTATAATTTTTTTTAGAAAATATATTTTTATATAATGCGATGATTTAAGGAGACCAAGACCTTAGAGATTAAATTTAAATTTATGGCACGTTTTATATTTACAAAAGGTGCTCGAGTGATTCACAATCGCTTTGAGTTTCACTATTAATATCGGAGAGATAAATTTATTCCGTGCATTTCGTAATCACTGGATTATCGTAATCTCTCTCTCTCTCTCTCTCTCTCTCTCGACAATCGTAATCATCGCCACTGAATAATGGTCGATTAATCATGTTCACTGATATTTTTCTTTGAGAGAAATACATAAAATGTTATGCAATATTTATTGCACAATAATAGAAATAAAAAACAAAGTAATTAGAAAGGACTACGAGCCAAACAGGATTGTTATGCTATTAGATACAAAATAATTACATGTATATTTGTTAAATGATAAATTTACGATTCGACTCATATCGAGTCATCTTATTCAGTGTATAATTATTATTTAGTGGCTTATGTGAACAATACGTGTATCCATTAGTTGCAAATAATGCTCTATTTTCTCCTTAGCAAGTATCAAAAGTTTATCGAAATTTATGTCTGTTATAAATATCATTAAAATAAGATTTTGAGAATTTGTATAATTTGAACAAAAATTAATAAATTCTAAATATAAATTAAAATACACCTGTGGAAGAGAAGCAAGTAACAACAGCAGTCATTGATAGACAGTTTTACAGCTCTGATTCGAATGAAAATAATTAAAATCAACAAGGAAACACAAACAAAGAGGAGGATTAATTTATGATGGAAATGGAAAAACGGGAGACTATTGGAAGGAGAACTAAATTAGGAAGTGGATAGAAATAAATATGTCACATAAAAAGGGAATAGAAGTAAATATGTCACATTGGATCGATTGAAAAAGGTTATATTGACGTGTTATTTTTAAACCTGTCGACTGTATGCGTGACGACTGTCGTATTTTCTCTTATCTAATGATTATACTTATTCTTAACTTGATAGCATCTATCGTTTTTTTAGGATCGTTAATCAGTAAATTTTATTTTTAAGAGGCAAGCTTATATATTTTACAGACAATGCGTTACTTTATGCGTCTGTCTTAATGGCATATCAGTTATATAATTATTAAATTAATAGTACGAGTGTTGAATTTATTAATCATTAAGCAACTTTTAGGTATTATGCGTTCGCTTTAATAATTACAGTCGTCAAATTAACGATGTTCTTACTGTAATTATTAATTGGGAAGATGTTATCTATTGAAATATGTCTCAAGCGTTCCTTTTAATCATCACACTATTGCAATATTAATCGCGATTGTGGAAATGGATAATACTTATACTAGTTATTAATTACTAGTATCTCTCTTACACTTTACGTATTATTTCAAGTGTAGCAGTTAGTGGCAGTAAGCAATGCGTATCGGCAAGCGAATGTACACGATGTGGACAAAGCGAGTAATTGAACGTGCAATCGTGGCCAATTAACGCGCAATTCCGGGAATTCGCGATGTAATCGTTAACGCGGTTATGGCAATGGCCAATGCCTGCAATTGATCGCTATTTATCTGTACGAATGTGTGCACTATTATTGATCGCAGGACAAGTTGTTGCCTGCATTGGCCCCGACCTTACATATATCTAGCAAACATTTTATCCTTTCAAACGTGATGTATCCTATGCGATATATTTGCTATTATATGGTACATTAGCGTTTGCTACATCACATATCGAATATAATATAACACATTGGATGTTTAATTACTAGATTTAGTTACTAATATAGCCTTACGAACGCTTTAAAATGAAAAAAAATCTATTTATAACTGATTCAGAGAATTTAATTTTTTATCTTACATGAATTTGCCAACAGATTTACGCATACATGAATTGTATAATATATTACGACTGAGACAGACTTAATTTTGCAATAACGTTGGAAAACAAAACCATTTATGTGAGTGCATCACCTAAATTCAAAAGGCGTCAATACAGTCAAAGTTAGATGTTGAACTAATACATACAAATATTCTTCCTTTAAATTAATTTATTTCAGAATTATAATTCGCGCCGTTACTATCGGATTTTCAACACAATCCATCTGAAAAATATTAATAATCCTCCCAATCTTAAAAAACTATGTAATAATTTAATAAACTTGATTTTTCCCCGTTGTCAATTAAACCAGCAGAATTTAATATATAAAGTTGAGTCGCGATGAGATATACGAAAATTATGATACTATTACATAACAGCATTTAAACTAAAAATAGAGAGATAGTAATAAATTGGATTTTATTATTTTGTCGAACAAACTTTTCAATAATGGTGTATTGAATCTGACGCAAGAAAATTTAATTTCAATACGATTAATGCTTTTTATTACTTTGAGAAATTATCGATTGAGTTTAATCCGACGTACACTTCGTGTTCATCTAATAAAGCTTGGAACGCCTGGAAAATATTTTTCTTCGACTCTCGAGGATTTACAAGCGATTAAATTCCAACATCCAAACAAATGGACTAAGACTCAATCGTCAAATAAGATTTTATTATATAGTGTTTCGTTAATATATATTATTCCATCTTGATGGAAAAATAAAAATTAAATAATTAATATAAAAGATATAATTATATATATGTACATACATATATACATGTAAACTTAAAATATGAAAAATTGATAATATAAAAAATGTTAGATTTTAATAAATATAAATTAATACATCGTATATATTCAAGATGTAACATAAATAAGGAAGTAAAGAAACATAAGTAATAAAATGAAAATTTAGGTCAACTTATGAAATTATGAGATTTTCCTCGGAAGGATCGCCTCGTGTCAGGATTACAGAAGGACGTTGGATCGAGTGGGCAGGATTCACTGGGAATTAGGGTAATAAGCGGCGAGAACCAAGGAAAGTACGCTACCTGTGATCCATTAATCTTGATTTTAATCAGTGTGCTAATTGCGACCGTATGTAAATTAATTTCGGGAAAACTAGGTATTTCTGGGGATGAGAGGAAGATCTAGCAAGATCTGCACGAGATTCTTGAATGAACTCTCAGAATGTTTTTTATTTAGAAAACAAAGATTGTATACAAAAAGAAATATTTAAAAAGAAGAAAATTGAAAAATTTGATCAGAGTTTGAAGACAAAGAAAGAGCTTAATTGAGAGGAAGGGAGAAGGGAATGAATATATTTCTTTTAATTCAGGCAATTCTTTTTCGGCATTAGAATCTTTAAGAATAGAGATTATGATCCAGAAGAATAAAAAGAACAAAATATAGATTGCTGCACGTTCGTGTGTGTGTGAATTAATATCTTCGCATGGCATTAAATCCCACGGAATGGATTAGCGGCTTCGCGGAGGATGCAATCCTGATAATTCTCGCTTAGAATCACGGAAGACCTGATTTTAATATTTCGCAACTGGAATTAATTCTCGTGTGCTTCTTCTCTTCGCTATGAATTAATTCATGGGGAATAATTAGCTAATTAACGGCACACTAGTTTCATGTTTAATCGCGAATTGATAATCACTCTTGCATTTCATTAAAATTACATTTAAAATTCTTGTATATTAAATAAGTTACTTATATTTTTGACAATTTTGTTTCTTTCATATTTATAATCTATATTCATTTATCATGTTTCACAATTTTCATTTTTATTTCTATCATGTTTGAGAAAAAAATATTTAATTAAAATTTATATTTAATAATATTAAATACTAAATTATATAATTATTGTGTGCTATATGTAACCGATAATTAAATAATTATTAATTCTTACAGTAACATAATGTTTAAAATAATTGTAGATAAAATCTACAAAATTTTTTAATTTATTATCATTATCATAATTAAATTAATATAATTAATAATGATAAAATTGATTAATGTTTGTTTAAAAGAATGATATTAACACTGTTTGAATAACTGTTTTTTTTCTTTCTAGTTAAGAAGTTTATTCATGTACTCATAAATGCAGCAGTAATGGACTTTTTATGAAATGTACATAAGTGTTTCATGATGCATGACATTAGATAAAAATTATGCGAGAAAATTGTGCAACGTCTTGTAAAAAGTAAATGGCTTTTGGTGGGCCAACGTTTGCTAAAATCTATGATTATAGTTAAAGAACATTTTCGAAAACTAGGCTAATAATTAAAATCGAGAAGAAATTATCGGGAAGATGTACTGGAAATAATAAGCTAGCACTTTCCTTTAATATTTTATCAAAAAAATTTTAAAACATTTATTTATCAAAATAACCCATTTTTGGTTTCAAATAAATTATTAATTAATTATCGTTAGTAATCCTTGCAGTTATTTTAATTATAAAGTAAATTCTTATTCGAAATATATATATATATATATATATCTACATCGACATTTTTTGAAAATATTTATAGATTTAAATCTAAATGTAAAATATAGTGCCTATAAGAGTCAACACAGGATATAAATGTGTGAAATGAAATAAAAAACGTATACGTTTCGACCCTGGATATGGATCCTCTTTAGTACATAAAAAAACTTAAATATAAATTTATGACATTATTTTGTTACGTCGCAATTAGTAAAGATTGTGTCCTATCTTGTAAGCATTATTACATTAATTTAGTAAAATTGCTATAGAGAAAAAGAAACAGAAACTGTAACTAACTTATTTAAATTCATAACTAAAAAACTAGAATTTGTCAAAATGTCACTTACATGTCGTAATGTTTTAATTAAAAAAACCTAAGTTTCCGTTTTGCATCCTATCATTGAACTGATATATTCACTATGTATAAAAGCACATGATAGACAATTTTAATTGTTGTAAGCATAGCAATAAAAGATTTTTACACTTACATGACAGAAGAGATTATAAGATGGAAGAGTTTTTTTTTTTTGCTCAAGGGCTAGAAGCTCTCCTCAAAGGAAAAAATTCATTTTTGATTAATTTATTTCTCCATGAAAAGCGTGCTCTTGTCCGAGGATTTAATGTCCGCAAAAGTTAGGATCTCACTGCGTTCTGGGAATGACGGCTGAGAAATCTGCAAAATAGGATTTAGTAACTTTCCCTAGGACTCCGGACGTTGTTATATTTATTTCTCCACCCCTCTCCGCCGCTATACTTCGTCTTCCATAAATAATGCGCTTTAATACGTCGTATTTTAACGCGGATCCGCTCGTTAATTAAAACGACTTTATCGTACGAGCGTTGGAAAAACATTTCTACTTATCTCCTCTCATCCATGTTCCGATTTCCTCCTCTTTCCTCCAGTTTCTACTATTTCATTTTCCTTGCGATAGATTAACGAGTCCGGATGCAGTTATGTCACTGTTTGCAACGCGTTAAATGTAATAAATTATTACAGTTTCTCTTAGCAGCTACAACCGGCACCGTTTCGCCTTCCATTATTTAGGATGCAATTTTCAATCCTGAAGGGAAAGATCTCTGATTTATGTGGCTTTTAACATTTAATTCGATATTATTAGGTCAATCGGAAAGTTCCGTTCGTTTAGCGGCGAGTATCTACAGCTGGAACTGTCGATAACTCTAATGTCTAAATCAAGCTTAATTTTATAGTTTTATCATCTGTCAATAAAATTCAGTATATAAAAGTATACGTTTGCATCAACGACATTATTTCTTATTGCATCGAAAATGTCGAAATTTGAGCCAAATAAACGTCATTTGCGCGAAGTGTTAATCTTTTGCTTCAAATGGAAGAAAACTGCAGCTGAAACTCATAGAATGCTTGTAGAAGTTTATAGTGATAGTGCTCCTTCCAATAAAACATGCAGAGAATGGTTTCGACGCTTTTAAAGTGGTAATTTTGATGTGGAGGACAAAGAGCGTTCTGGTCGAGAGTATTTGAAGACAAAGAATTCAGGCATTAGTGGCTGAAGACCCATGTCAAACGCAAAAACAACTTGCAGAAGCATTAAATTATGCTCAATCTGTTATTTCTGATTATTTAAAAGCCTTAGGTCTACAAGGAAGGAAAATGTGTTCCATATGAACTGAAGCCAAGAGACATTGAAAGGTAAAAAACCACCTGCGAAATTTTGTTTGCTAGGCAACAAGAAAGGGGTTTTTGCATCGAATTGTGACTGGCGATGAAAAGTGGGTCTATTTCGATAATCCCAAATGCCAAAAAACCATTTGCGATCCAGGACAACTATCGACATCGACGTCAAAACGCAATATTCATGGGAAGAAGGCCGTGTTCTGTATTTAGTGGGATTAGAAGTGTGTAGTGTACCATGAACTGTTGAAATCCAGTCAAACAGTCACAGGAGATCTCTACCGAGAAGAAAAAAAAATAATCCGTTTAAGCCGAGCATTGCGCGAAAAACGACCAGAATATGAGACAAGACAGCATAAAGTGATTTTGTTTCATGACAACGCTCGACCTCACGTCACTAAGGTTGTTAAGGAAACATTGGAAGCACTTCGCTGGGAAGTGCTACCCCATGCGGCTTATTCACCAGACTGTGCCTCTTCCGATTATCACTTGTTTCGGTCGATGGCATACGCACTTGCTGAGAAACGCTTCAATTATTATGAAGACGTCGAAAAAATGGGTCTCTGGCTGGATAGCCTCCAAGGATGAGTTATTCTTTCGCCACGAAATTCGCTTGCTGCCCGAAAAATGGGAAAAAGTCATTGCGAACGATGAACAGTATTTTGTTTGATCTACTTTGTCATTTTGTTTCTTAAATAAAATCATACTTTTTGCAAAAAAAAAAAAAAAACGGACGGAACTTTCCGATTGACTTAATAGCTCAATTTTTTGGATTTTAGCGGAAAGGCTTTAATTTAGACCCTCCAAGATCTTTAATAGCCGCAAGTTGAAAGGCCGACAAATTTAATTTGCCCACTTAACGCCAGGTTTTCTTTTTATGGAAAGACCATAATTTAAGGAATGACGCTTTTGGTAGTCATCTAGAGCTTGAAGGATCGACTAATTTAATATATTGGATTGCCGAGGTTAATTGACCTATACCGAGCCTTATGTACCCATGTTGCATGTGTTATACGTGAGTATTATATGCAGCAGCACATATCTGCCGCGTCGCGGTCTGCGAAATGTATTTCGTAGACCAGGTGCATCGAGATGCACCGTGATGCGTGCAACCGCAAAACACAGGACATATCACGGTTGCATCTCTCTCTCCTATCCGGCTATCTCTATCTCTTTGTATCTATCTCTATCTTTATATATACATAGGAAATTTGGAAATGTCGTGTTTAATTGAATACATTTCACGTGTTCCAAACGGTATTCAAATATTTTTATGTTAATTTTATACAAAATGACTATGTTAGAAAGTAACACAAATTTATATTTAAAAAATTACATAGAAAATCTTTTATTCGTAAGCAATATTTTTTAGGTAAAATTAACATTTTATAATATGTTGAAAATTAATATGTATTTTAATCATTTATTTTTAAGAATTTACGTTTTAAAATACATTGTTTTTCTGTTATTGTTCATTTCATATAATTCTGTTATTTGTTCATTTATTCATGAATTATTATTTTTACACTAAGGAATGTTAAATTTTAATTCACAACACAAAATATTTAACACCAATGAGTGAAGAGGGTCATATCTAGTTATTAAGACGGATCTTCGTATTTAATAATATTTTTTATGTGAATTTTTACAATTTCATTTTTAGTTCAAGCAAACTACACGTCATATATTTGTCGTGTTTAAAATACAGTTCTAGACTCAAGCTGGAGTACGTAATCTCACAAATTAAGTTGACGAGCAATTCAATATTACTGATGCTAATGATCATCTTTAAAAGAATTTATACAGAAAGATACATATAATAAAATAACGTAATCATATTATGTTAAATTAATGCTGGGATATGTTAA